ACTCTACTAATAGTATATATATATATATATATATATATATATATATATATTGCTAAATCAAATGAAGATCACCGTAGGCTAAATGAATATACCTCATCATTTGGCCCACATATATTGATTCACTTGTATACAACTCCCCCTTTACGATACTTATTTACTTATTTCAACTAAGTGAAATAAGCGTAATTAATAAAAAATTATCTTTACATCTTGCTTTCATTCCCTGATTTTTCTTAATTGATAATATCACTTTGAACTATTCTATAAACCTACTGACAGTATTATTTTTCACCATAGTATCAGGTGTTGTTGTATATTGTCGTGAGGTTGAAGTGAAATCCTTATTATTTTTTAGATTTGAGTAGTTCTAATAAAACAATAAACATAAGCACATTAATACGGCCAAGAAAAGAAGGTAGGAGTGTCAAATATAGAAATCCCTGAAAAGATTAAGTGGTATGAGAATCGAAAGCCTCTTTTCCTTTTTATGCTTTACAGATGCTAATGGGGGGTATTCTGTCTTTGACAGTGCGGAGACTCCGTCTTCTGGGGAGGTTGAGCCTTTTTGGAATCGCTTACTATGTCAACCTGAGGTCATGGATCCCCATGTAGAGGCCGCGCCGACCTATAGGACCTTGGCCCTCGGGTCGCTTTCCTCAACGATTCCCGAGAAAGGGATCTCACGAAGTGCTATGGAAGACAAGTACTTTAAGAGGATGCAGAGAGGTAAAGCGGCGGTGACTGAGTCATCATCCCATGGACTTTCTGACAGCCGCGATACTGTCAGCATGGATTCTATAGATGCTACTGTCTCTGTGCAAAATTCATTCCCTTCCAGGGATGCGTGCGCTGGGGAAATAGGGGCGAAGCCCGATGGAGGATATCCCCCCTCACGTGAGGAGAAGTCTTCACTAACCACCCGGATTGCTGATCAAGTGGGAGATCGCCCAGCATCTCGCCAGAACAGCGGGTTTACTGTGCATGATACTCGTCTTCCCAGTATCAGAAACGATATTCTAGGTGATTCTGCGCGTGAATACCACCATGGAAGTGGGTCGATAGGTAGTTTTCAGACCTTAACAGCGGGAGGGGAGCGCTCTGCGCAAAGCACGCCGAATCGCTTCCAAAGGCATCTCTCTCTAAGAGAGGAGACAAGGAGAAAGCAGATCCAACTTGCTTCCAAACGTGCACGCGAGGCCAAGGCTGCATTATACGATCTCTGGCTTCGCGAAGGAAAGAAATCTACTGAAAAACAACCAGTACATCTACGAACTGGATGTGGTTCGACACCCTCTATAGTTTCCATACCACAGTCCTTTTCTCAGTCCTCGACCTCACTTCCACAAGATTCGTTTAAGCCAGGTGTGTCGACCTGTACTTCCCCTCTTGGTGATTCTTTGGCGGACTCGACCAGGACGGCTGTCGCTGAAAATGAAAGCACCAACAGTAGCTTTTTTGTCGATGACGAGAGCTTGGATATCCAAGCGGATATTGGAACTATCTATTCCCAGTTGCGCTTATATCGCACAGACAATTCTGTTTCGAGCGGGGACAGGGCCTCGAATCTGAGGGAGGGTCACACGAACGATGATGGGACGGTCAAATCGACGGAGGGGCCCACAGTGGGACGCCCAGTTTATCGGACTTCGAGTCTCTTTCCCCTACAGTCCAGCGCTTACGCGGAAAGTGTCGTGCTCACACAGCGCTCCCAACAGGTTTTTGTGTTGATGTCTCTCCTCTGCGAGGCCCACAGGCATTCTTGGAAGTTGCATCTGGAGCTCTTACAGTTGTACCACTATTACATCCTGCCGATTCTTGGCAGCAGCCGCAGTGCTGCCGAGCGGACGGTATTGGAGAAGGCTTTGCGGAATTCTGGATCTCGTGCGCTGGGCTACTATCATACGGCCTTAGCTTCCTTTGCGGGGATGGATTTTCAACTATTTAGGTATCAGCACGATAGGATATGGCGCAAGCTCTTTGCTGATGTTCGACAGTATCTTGGGATGGATTCCACGGCAGCCGAGGGCGGCTGTGATGGGTCGGAGGGGGTGAGATCGACAGGTGGAGGAGATGGGACCTTGCGTTTCGCCGCGACACTTTTGCATTCACTTGATTTGTTTGAGCGTCAGCATGGGATGCAGATGGCACTACGTGATGCCACGAGGTGGATTACTTGGTACTACTACTGTTACCTCCCGAGTACGCAGGTCGGTGGCGGCGGTGCGGCAGGACACACTGCCGATGGTGCCCGTGAATTGGACGCAGCGGCGGTCACTCCCGAAGATTGCTCTGCTGCACGGAGCACATCAGGGTCTAGAGACAATGTATCCAAGAATTCAAGCGATCTTTTTAGCTCCCGTGGGGTTAGTGAATCCATTGCTGGCGCAAATGGGAATTCCGGGTGTACTAGCCACTCTCACGCTGAGGGAGAAACCCTCCTGCTTTCCACTAATGCGGAGAAAAGCACCGGGGAAAGTGTGACCCGTGAGGAAGATGTTATAGAGCCGCCAGAATTTAACCGGGGGTACGTGTCCCTGGACTGGCAGGCTGCCCAAGACGAGCAAGTTCGAAACATGGTATACAACATCCGACTGTACAGGAAACTTGCGCGGATGGACAGAGCGGTGCTGACTTCTCGTGTACCAATTCCGCCGACCTCAACAAATATTGAGACTAAGTCCGAGAGGGAAGGCGGTAACCCGACGAACTGCGTGACGCCGAACAAAATCGATGAATTGCCGGAGGAAATTGCCGATGTCCATCCACGGAGTCCTGAGGATCGCACCCGTATCTCCAGCGCTCCATTTCCGAACGCTAAAGTCTCTTCACCAAACACCGTTTCTGCGCCTCAGAGTGGGCCAACACCGCGCCCAGCGGGGGTGCCTACCGCTCGCCCAGAGACTGTGGCTACTAGTCCAGTTTGCCATGCATCGCAAAAGTCAATGACATCCCGCAAAAGGTTCAAGACATTCAGGGTTAGGGCGAATTTCCATGACAGTTTGAATGTGGGCTGCTTTGGATTATCCTTTTTTACGCTCCATTCACAAAGGAGCAAACCTCATTCGTGAGGTATATTTTCTAGACCTTGAGTCATTTTGTCTCCATATATGCAAAGGAAAACGTACATGAGTTTGGCATGTTAAATTAAATTCAACAGAGATGTCATTGTTTAGGGGTTGCTTTTAATTCTACAATTCAGGTTATTTTGTCATGATCTTGGTCCTTTTTATTGTTCTAATTTGCTTAGAGGGTTAATCTTAACAAAGCGTCCCATTTGTACAATGGGCGCGCGTAGTAGCGCATTAACCCCTCCCCCCTCCTCCCCCCCCCCCGGGAATGTCGTTATTTTTTATTTGGTAGTTAGATGTTTAAAGTGTAAACGTGGATTTCAGTTGCGCTAACATTCATAGCTTTTTCATTCCCAATATGCAACAAAAAGTGTCATCTGCGCTATTTTATTTTTAACAAAGTTGCTTAGGAGCTGCATATAATATGATAACAGATCCTTTATGATTTTTATTCGTACTCCTCTAATATATATATATATATATATGTATTGTTCTAAACAACAATGATTTAGACTTTTGCTTATATGTTTGCACCTTCTTTTATCTTTCCGGTAAGTTGTACCTTCTGTTGATATTGGCGACGTTATCAATAGAATCAAGAACATCCGTCTTATGAAGAAAATCTTCCAATAATGCAAGTTATATACATTTCCATTTCAATGTTGGTTCTAGTAAATACAAATATTTATGTATGTGCGTTTGTATAAACTCTTGTAATATATTATTCACACCTAAGAACCATTTTTTTCCCCAATTTAAGACAAATTTAAACGGCGAATCGCTTTAGATAAAAAGATATATTATTCCTTAGATGTGCAAGTCAAAATCACAATTTCATATGATAATAATACCAATAATGGAAACCGTATGTTGAAGACACGTGAAGAGGCCGTCTATGCAGTTTTTCTTTCCCCTTTGTGTCTTTTTTTCTCCTCTTAACAGTAGTCGGATTTATCAAAGCGTTTTCTTTTCCATCGCTTCTTTAATCTTTGGTCTTGTCGGATTTAGTTGTCAAATACTTTGCATTTTTGTTCTTTAAGTCTTTGCATACGTATCCAATAAAGCGGAATAGCTGGAATGCCTACCAGAGGAGAGCGCCATCTGAGGAGCTACATCGGGAAGGGGATGCCCGTCGTGGTGGGTCGCCGTAAGCGCGCGCGCGAGGTCGTCCCTGTGCTCCAGGCAAAGTGTTCGCCCGAGGGGAGGCCGGCAGGCCCGGAAGTCGGCGCGGTTTTGGGGGTTCCGCAGGGCGGTCGGGCGGCCCGCCAGGCGGCCGGCGATCCGAAAGGCGTGGCGGAACGGCCCTCGCGAAGCCCCGGGCTGGACCTTCCCCGGGACTCGCTTGGGCATCGCCAACGGTGCCTGGTGGAGGCCCTGGCGGGCCCCCTCGCCCAGGACCCCGCCGCGC